ACTGAAGACAGTTCAGAATGGGTGAAGAAACTGTAGGAAAGCATCTATCTGCTCTAGATGAACTGTATTCCAGGAAACTGAGAGAACTGTCAATGATGTCTCAACCTTTGTTGGTGACCTTAGAGAAAGCTTACAAAATATGAATGTTGCTTTAAAAAGAGTGGTGGTGTGAGCAAATGGAATTCCAAATTTCACAGATGTAGATTTCACAAACTGTAAATCAATGATCTTAATGCCATTTTGGGGCATGCTTCTAGGATAGCATAACAAAGGGATGACTTATGGGGTCCCATAAGAGGAGGTGAGGATCATTAGAACTCTATATAAGTCATGTAAAAACATGACAGACTGACCAAATTTTCTTCTTCATAGGTTTACATGACTGTCAGATGAAGGAGGTATTACCTAAAAGGAGCACTAACAATCAGGAGATATCAGAAACCAGAGAAGAGCAAGCACAAGGAAAGGATGAACAAGGTATATTTAGCCTGGAGGAAATGAGGCTTAGGGAAAACATGATGGCTGCTGTCAAGTGCAAGAAGGATCATTAAATGGAAGATGAATGAGGCATCATCTGTGGGCCTCTAGAAGGCAAAAACAAAGGCCAATGTGTAGAAGTTATGGAGATGTAGGATAAGGCTCAGTATAAGGAAGAACTGTCTAACTACTCACACTATTCAGTAGTAGAGTGGGCCGCTTGCAGACAGAGTGATTTCCTGATCACTTCAAGTGTGCAAGCAGCAGCTTTTTGGGAAATGTTCTAGGAGAGATTCATGCATTGTTGTGTGGCTGACTCGAAAGTTCCTTCTGATTTTGAGATTCTGTGATCCTGGGACAGCGCTGGTGCGAATGGTTAGTAATGGGTTGGCAACACAGAGATTGTGATGCTATAGTTAACGGAGTGGAAGGAATTGGAAGAAGACAGAGGGAAGAAACCTAGATCACTCAGTTGAAAAAAAGGTAGTCATGCAGTCATATAGTCTGGAGGAAGAATTGACCATCTTAGCCCTGAAGACCGGGATCATCCCACAATAGTATAGGGATGCCCAAGATAATTACACTTCAGAGGATGCCTCAAATCAATGTCTTTATAGGATATTTGGGATTTCATCAAAGACAAAAAATTCAAAATGGAATTTTAATGATGTTCAGAAAAGAGAAGGGAAGGGTACCATTTGGATCCCTTCTCTAAGAAGGGACAGGATCACAAAACTGCTAAGGACCATGAAGGGAGTGGGTAAGGCACATCCTGGGAGGCAGGCCTAAGAGAAAAAGTTAAAAAGCAAGAGCACAAAAGAGGTGGAATAACAGGAGAGGGAGGAAAGATGAGGACAAAATAAACAGGTACATGTATTGCGAACGGGCAACTTCCTGGACCGCTAAAGGTCTCAGGAGCACCTTCAGCCAGTTCTAAGAAGAGATGAGAGTTGGGAACCGGTTCATTGCCCGCTGCTGAAGAGGAAGCCAATATAGAGACAGAAGGCGTTACCGCAGAGAAAGAGTTTAACATTGCAGGCACCATACAAGGAGATGGGAGGAAGTTCTCAAATCCATCTCTCTGAAAATTTGGGAGAAGGGTTTTTAAAGATAGTTTGGTGGGCAAAATTCTAGGCAATTGGGTCTGCTAATTGGCTGAGTTCTGGGCGGAGCTAAAGGGGTGTAGAAATTGTCTTCTTTGCTGAGTTGGTTCTTGGGTGGGAGTCGCAATATCTACTGAATCAGTTGCTGGGTTTGGGTGGGTCAGCCGTTCCACCGGAATGCAGGGCCTGGAAGATATCTTAAAAACTAGCCTTAGGTTTCACAAGGGTGATGTTATCTACTGAAGAAAGCTGGGAATCTTTATGATCATCAGCTATGCGATTCCTGAATACTAGGCAATTATAGGAAAGCAAGCTAGGGAACGATGGCTGGTTATATACGTATTTCCCCAACCACAGTTCTCACCTTGTGGCCCTTTATTAATTGTATATAGGGCGGTTTCACCAGGAGACGAAGGCTCCCATGCTAGCTGTGTGCCTCGACTTCCTGAGTGACCTTGTAGATGTCATTTCACCGCTCCGCTTCCTCCCTATTGTCAAATGCGAGCACCCCGTTAGACCGAAAGTGCACTGGGCTTTACGGAAGAAAATGGCTTCAGAAATTTAAGACGTCTGCACGTGTGTGAAGTGTTTGCGCTTGTTTTCCTATTTTCAAGGTTGCGGGGTGGGCGAACTGGTAAAGAGGCGAGTAGAAAGTAAGGTGAGAAGACGCTGTGCCCAAAGTCGCTTGGCTCTGCTTCGACATCCTAGGGAACCCAGAGGGCGGGGATCTGGCCAAGGACACATGCCTGCAGCCGTTCGACCAGCCAGGCACCCCAGATCCAGCGGGCATCCCAGGCTATACTGTCCCTTCAGCAAATCCCATTGCAGGATCCGGCGACGAAAAGCGAGGCACGCCCCTCCCCCACTAGATGGCACTGAAACGCCTTGTTCGCGATTTTCAAAATTCAGGAAGGAGAAAAAAAATGACAAAAAGAATATGGTGGAGGTGCGCTCATTTTGGCCCACGAGCCCCGTTGTGCAAAGCAGGGTGCCGGACTGTCTTTTTTCCCCCAGGGCAGCTCTTGACCCGGCAGTGTGGGATCTCGACTTTGGAGTGAGGGTGAAAATGAGGGACGAGCATTAGAGTGAAAACCCCAGTGTTTGAAGCAGGGAGGGAGGCTCCCAGCCTTTGCGGCGCGGTCTCACGTGAGCGAAGCAGGGGCCTGGGGATCGCCTGGGGCCCACCTGCTCAAGGTCTGGGGTCCCGCACGACCCCCCAGAGCCCCCGCATCGCCTAAAGCCAGCGGCCACCCACACAAACGACAAATCCGCGCAGAGGTTTTCTGTGACCCCACCTCCCTTCTCAAAGCATGAGTCCTCGAGTGTTTTCAAAATCTCTACTAACCGACTCGCCCCCCCCCCCCACTAAAATTCTCTTCTTCTAGTCTTGAATGGATAAGCCAAATCTCTTCTTTCTTTTCCTGCTGAGCAGAGAGGGCAGGGGGAGGTGGGTGTGTGTCGAGGTGCCTGGAGCTGGCTTGGGACTGGACCGGGGCTGGCGGTGACAACCCAGCCGCCGCTCTCAGCCAGCCCCGGGCGGGCGGAGACTCCTGTAGCTAGCAAGGCAGCGACTGTGGCTTTCTGGGGAAAACAAAGATGAAATGCAACCCGACACCAGCGACGGAAACCGGGGACGCAGGGAGCTCGTTCAGCCCCTCTGAAGGCCGACTCCGCAATAAGCAGTTTTTTCCTCTAAAGAGCTGTGGTGGATTTGAGGGAGATTTCCATGGCTGAAAAGAGAAATAGGAGACGTAGGCAACATCCCTAAATTTATAATAATGCATGTAAACATGCTACATACCACATATGTGTATATGTGCATAAATATGTATGTGGTAGGGCACATGCCTATCTAGACACCATTGACTTGCCTGGTCAAAGAATAAGGCTTAGACATTTCGTGCCTGGGAAATGGTGCAGTTTATCTTTAAGGAGGCTAGAAAAATAAGAGATGAGGCTCACGTTGCACAGATGACATCACTAGCTTTTGGCTGCGCGCTCCGTGTTCTCGTCTGTGGGCTTTAGCCAAGGCTGCAGCGCCCGGCGCCCAAGCACAGAGCGCGGCAGCGGCTTCCTCCGGCGCCCGCAACCGGGCGATGCGATTTCTGGAGCCCCCCGGGCGCAGCCTGGGCTCTCTAGCCTCCCGGGCACAGGCCGAGCCTGCGAGGCCTCGGAGCCGCAGCGGCTAGAGGAGCAGGCTGGGAGGGGAAGCCGAGCGACCCAGCCTCCCTCCCCCACCCTCGCCCCATTCACCTCGGCGACCACCGCGCGCCGAGAACCGGATCGTGGGACGCCGAGGCCGGGACGGGATTCTCTGTACGCTGCCGTGAGCCGGCATCTCGGCGGCGGGGTTGGCTGCGAAGAAAATGGTGCAATCTGAAAGCGGCTGAGCCCAGCTAGGCAGAGCAGACGGGGTGCCAGAGTGCCAGGGGCTCAGGTGGCGGGAGAAGGGGTCGGATTGTTTCGAGGGGCCGGAGCTGGGGGGGGTTTCTCGGTGCCTGCAGCATTTTCTTTGCACCTGGGCAGCACGCTCCCGGGGCTAGCCGGAGCCAGATGAAGTGAGGCGGAGGCGTCGCGGGAGAGGCAGGTCTGGAGGCGGCCGGGTGGACACTCCAGGAAGAACACGGCGCTGGGGAGAGCGGCATGACGCCCCGGGGGCTGGCTGCAGGGCCGGCCTCGCGCCGCGACGGCGCGACCTGTCCATGGTGTTGAAGGCGACGCGCGCCGAGCTCCGAGCGCCCTGCGCCGTGCGCGCTGCCCGGTGCGCCCTTCTCGGCGCAGCCCGCCCCTCGCGCCCGCCAGGTGCCGCCCAGTCTCCGCAAACCCTGGGCCAGGACTCGTCCAGTAACGCCGCCAGGGTAACCGCGCCGTCGGCCTGAGGGGCCTCCTGAATGGCGAGGCCGGAGGCAGGCGACCAGGGAGCTCCCGGGGAAAGGTCGGCCGAGACACTGCGTCCGCTGGGAGTCCACCTCTGAGCGCAGCACGCGGGCCAGAGGAGCAAGGGACCTGCTGGTGACCAGAGGACGGAGATTTTTAAAAGACCCGGCCCAGAGAAGAACATTTCTGGGTGCGCGCCCCGGGTCTTCGCTTGCAGACCGGAAGGGGGAGAGTCCCTGAGCAGGAGACCCAGGCGGGACTCAGGGCAGCCAGCCCTGGCACCTGGAGGCTTCTTTTGCCTGCCGGCCGCATCCTGCTGTCCAGCAGCTCCTCCTGACTACCCACCCCCCGTCTCCCGCAGAAAGCCAGGCGAGTCGGTCCCGTCACCACCCTGCACAAAGAAGCCCCAGCAAGCCCCACCGCAGTCGAGGACACTTGGCGTTTAGTTTCCGGCCCGAGGGCAGCGGCGCTCAAGCCGGGCTGCGCGCCGAGGCGGCGGGTTCGGAGCAGTCGCTTCCTGCGGGGCGGGGAGGGGGCGGGAGGCAGCCGTGTTGGGCTCGCCGCCGCCGGAGGCTGCACCTGCCCCAGAGGATGCCCAGGAGCCCGCGGGAGCCTCTCCGGATCAGAACTTTTTAGGCTGCCCGCCCCCATCCCCGCATCCCCGGGCCGCGCACCGGTAGGCGGGGGCCGTGGGGGCGCCGCCGCGCGAGTCCCTCTCGTGTCCCCCTCCCCACCCCCAGCTCGGCCGCCTGCCGCTTTGTTCCGGGCGCGCCGAGGGAAGGCGAGGCTGCGGCGGATCATGCCCATGGTGTAGCCGCCAAGCGGAGGCATGGCTGCCGGAAGGTTACTGCTCTACACGGGCCTCTCGCTAGCGCTCTGCGCCCTCGGCATGCTGGCCGTGGCCATCTGCTCGGACCACTGGTACGAGACGGACGCCAGGAAGCACAGGGACAGGTGCAAGGCCTTCAACACCCGCCGGGTCGACCCTGGCTTCATTTACAACAATAACAACAACTTGCCGCTCCGGGCGAGCCGCTCGCGCCTGGACCGCTGGGAGGGCAAACTCCTGCGGGCCCGGAATCGCCGGCAGCTCTTCGCCATGAGCCCTGCGGACGAGTGCAGCCGGCAGTACAACTCCACCAACATGGGCCTCTGGAGGAAGTGCCACCGGCAGGGCTTCGACCCGGAGATCGCCGCCCTCATTCGGAAAGGTAAGCGCCAGGCTCGAGGCGTGGCGCTGCGGAGAGCCCGGCGCCTCTAGGCCCCGCAGCCCTCGCCTCTCTTCCCCTGGCCACAGGCTGTCAGATCTGGTTCCGAGCCGTCCAGTTATCCAGGCCTGGCTAAGCCTCGAAGTGTCCAGAACTTGCCTCCCTGTGGCTGATAATGAAGCGTAGTGGAGGCTTAACTCTCCCTCCTGCCTCTTGCCTTGCGCTTGTCTGTCGGGATTCGAGTGGAATCGCACGGTCTGGGGTTTTTATCCAGGGTGGTGCTTCATCAGCCTCTAAGAAGGAGCGGAATCTATAACGGTTTTCGTGCTCCTAAAGGAAGCCCTTTAAGAGCGATCTGTGTGTTTGTGTGGGGGGGCAGGGTAGATAGGCTCCTAATTTTATCTTTGTTGAACTGATTTCAATCAAGGGAAATTGGGAGGAACATCTCACAGTGAAGGCCTTATTCACACCAGAAACGGTCGCTGAGTGCTGTACTATACCAGGCATGGTGCAGACACTGGTCATATAAACATCAGTAAATCATAGGCCCTGCTCTACAGCAGCTCAAAGCCTGTTGACCAGTAGCATCGTCACACAGTTCTTTATTTCTGCTTTTGAAAAAGTGGTTGACAGTAACGACTTGTGTGCGCTGAGTGTTAGCAGGGTCTAATAAGCACACAAAAAGTATTTCTTTGGGTGACACCAAAGTGGGCATTTCAGAGGAAAAAAATGAGACCTTTAGAAGATTTATGTAAAAAAATACTCAAAGTGTACCAGAACAGAAAACAATCTGCATTAACTGATGATAAAAATTTATTTGACGCTTTGGTAGGATCACATAAATAAAAAAATTCTGCTTATCTGATGCAATTTGTAAATCTTTTATGATTTATACATTGGGGACCATCCTGTTGCCTCAACCCACTAGAATATTGTTTGAATGTGTATTAATATTGCTCTGAAGAAAGGAATATGTTCTCTTCTATGGCAGCTACATCCTGGGAAGATGTGCTGATTTTGTGGATATTGTCCTCCCCCCTTTTCATTCTCTTCAACTATAAATGTTGATGCCAAGGCGACAACCATGCTGTTATCTGCAAAGTGCCTTGAGGCCAAGGCGTAAAGCAGTCCTTAATGTTTCTTATTATAATGCTGTGAGGTTTGCTGATGTTTTAAAATAATATCTGTGAGAACTGATGTTGTTCTTTGATTTATAAAATTTGCGTTGATGAGAAAAAAATCGTTGATTTGAAAAAAAAGTCAGTTGTTTAAGAATGACAAGCAGTGAGTATGGTCTAGGTGGCCTGGTCAGGTTTCGGTGAGGTAGCTTCAGAGAGAGAATCCATCTTAGGGTTTGTTTTGTAGCTTTTTTAGAATGACTGGGGATTTTAGCTGATTTAGTTATGGGTGTATTAATGTTCAAATATCCCGTTTGTTTCATGATTAGGTTCTTATGAGAGCAGAGTGACCCATTTGGAACTCTACAACTTTGTAAAGACGTATAGGATATTAGGGGATTCCAGAAGAGAGCAACTTTGGTTTGAGAAGTAGGAAAACAAGAGGAAATAGAATAGTTGTTGACAATGGATCACTTTATAACAGTTTTCAAATTTATAAAGTGTTATTTTATCTATCATTTTCTGCCTTCTTTAACATTGAAATGGGAGGAAGTTAGCTGAATGTGAGGGATAATTCAAGTTAATAAGACTGGCAAACACTGGCAGGATTTGCTGAAGGACATTCTTGAGTTTCCTTTCTTGGGTGCCTTCTAGAACAAGACAGGTATCTTTCTGTCTGGTATTGGTTAACCCCACTTAGAGAAAGGGGGGTGGAATTCGTGGCTTCTGGTGATTCCATTCAGGGCTTTGATTCCCTGGTGCTCTGCTTGGCAGTCTGACTAGGAAGGTTGACTTGGTCTGTGCACCAGAGGGATTGGTTACCATAGTGACATGTTCTTCCGGTGAAGCTGGAAACACAGTGACAGGGAAAGGGATAGGGGAAGAATGTACAACATTTTGACTTTGTATCAACTAATTTTTAATTGCAGCAACAGAAAATGGACATGGCACAGCAGGGGTATTGAATACACTGATACCTAGAGTTGGCAGGGCATTGTATTTCACTTGAACTAACAGAAATGCTGCTCCCCATCACCCAAAATACAGCAATCACTGTCAGCTGCAGGCACCCGCTTACCATGGCTGTTTCTGTCCATTTGACATTCTTGTTAGGTATTATTGAGATAGATGGCATGCCAGCCTTACAAATCTTGAGAGACTTAAGGTCACTATCTTCATTTTTAACCCCAAGCATGATCTTTGAAAACCAGGTCTTCCTTTTCTGAGCAGCAGTAGATACATTTTGGAAATAAGTGCATCTTATATTAGTAGAATTCACCAATAATAAATATGTAGAACATAATTTATAGACCTAATCAGTGTTCTTCCTAGATGGGCAGATTCTATAAGGAAGTGAAAATGACAAATTGATATTACTATATTTAAATTTAAGGCACGTTAGGGAAATATATTTATCTTACATTATTCCTGAGAAGGCTCAAAAGGTACCTTTGACTTTTGTCTTTTTTGAAACATCTTCTTAGATTAAAATTCTAGGAGATATGTATTGGGAAAAAGGAAAGGAAAACCAGAGAAAAGATTGTTTAAAATCTATCAATATCATGGGAAAATTAGAGATTTATCTGAATGATCTGAAGAACCCAGTCATTTGTTAAATTGATGTTCATTACGCTAGAAAGTGCTGTTTGTGCATTTTAAAATAAAAGAAAACTTCACAATTCATATGAAAATAAAAGTCAAATCTATATATGATTTGAAGATAAAGTCCTCGGGATTCATGGTCTTTCTGAAATCCATTTTTTTCAATGCCCTGCTGCCATACTGTACTCACCGGTATGCATTTCTGGTCACTGTGTATCTATTTGTTTGCATTGCAGAACTGTAAGTTCCTGGAGGGCAGAAAAGACAATCATTTGTAAAATACACATGTTAGATGCTTGGTATTTGGGAATATCTTATACAAATTAGGTTCATAGAAATGTATCCATCAAGAGCTTACTCTAATGGTAGGAATACTTGTGTGGGAATCCAAATAAAAAATTAGTTAGAAAATCGTGACGAAAAAATGAACCAGTGTGGCTTTCAGGCCAGGTTAATATGGCAACTGATGCTACATAATATACCAAAGGAAGATTTCTTGAGTAAAAGCTTTGCCAAGGAATAAGGGAAACACACAATTATTTTTTGGATAACACATGTGACTGTGCAGATACACATCACCCATGGGTATTACTTTTCATGTTAGATAAGATTTTAATTATGTCTTTCCTGGAGGTAGGATTGGATAGGGGGGTGCAGCAAGGGTAGATTACCCCGAATTCCTATTTACTGTATCCATGAGGAGTCTTAAATCAGCTCCTCTGATCTTCTTGCTTTTAAACCTCATCCATGTTCCCCTAGTAAGTCACTGAAGGCACTGGGGACAGATCAATGACAAGATCAGTTTCTGAAATCCAAGAGATTTCCAGACCCTTACGAGGAGCAGCTATAGGTAGGATTTTGTTCCAGGGAACTCTAAGCGAACACTTATATTCTTTGGTTTGTACTGACATGTTTTATTAACATGGTTTGAAGTAAGTAGAGCTTCAACTGATACTCTAAGAATTTTTAATTATTTGAAAACTTGCCTTAAAATGGACTTTGACCTAAATGTTTCCATAATCACAGAGTGGTTGTCAATGTTCTGAAAATAATTTTTAAAAAACATTGCACATATTTAAAAATTAATGTGATCAGCAATAATTTACTGCACATGTATTATGGGATGGGCACACATCACTAGGATAAAGGGATGGATAACACCTGGTCCTCAAAATTCTCATAGTCTGTGAGTGTCACCAAAAATAAATTACAACTATGGGATGATGACAGCAGCAACAGAAAGAGATTCTTAGAAACACAGAGGAAGCAGTGGTAGATTGCTTCGGCAGTGGGAGGAGAAAAGGTGGGAAGAGGATAGGGAAACTTGTCCTGAGGAAATGAAATCTGAACAAGACTTTGATGAGGTTTGGAGGTGGATGGGGAGGAGAGGCATCTCAGACAAAGGGACCAGCTTCAGAGGCGTGGAGGTGTGAAATGGCAGTTTGGCTTTGTGAGTGTTGATTTCTGGGGTGAGGAGATGAAGCACTGTCCAGCACCAAGTTAAGGAGCTTGTATATCACATCCGCTAGAGCTATGCTGCCCCATAGGGTAGCCACAAGCCACATGTGGCTATTTAAATTTAAAATAGCCAAAATTAAATAAAATTAAAAATTCATTTTCTTAGTTTCATTTGCCACATTACAAATGCTCAATAGCCACATGTGGCTAGTGGCTATCGTATTGGACAGTGCAGATTACAGGGAACATTCCCGTCATCAGGGAAAATTCTCTTGGACTTCACTACATAGATCCTACAGCCTCTACAAAAAGCAAGCACATACTTTGTTTCAGATGAGGCCAATGACATGGTAACTTGGGCTTAAATTTAAGTATACCGTTCTATACTTTAAGAAACTTTGCTACTTGAATGTTTCTGGCAGAAGGTCAATTACACTAAATCTATATTTTATTAATTGTCCATCATTGACTCGCAGAATTCTCACATGCTTCTCCTTTCTTCCCTTCTGTCCCTCTCCCTGATTCCATTAAAAATTACTTGCATTGTTGACATGGTGGGAAAGAGATTAATAATAATTATAGCTAAACTTGATGCCAGGTACTCTTCTAAAAGTTCTACATATATTAGCCAATCAATTGTTTGTAATGGCCCTATGCAATGGGTATTAATATTATTTTTAATTCCTATTCTACGGTTGAGGGAACTGAGGCACTTTAAGGTAAAAACACATGCCAAGTCTCACAGTTAGGAAACAAGGGTGTCGGAACGCGAGTTCTGGCTCTAGGTTTGGGACTCACCCACTGCACTCTGCTGTCACCTTAGAA